GTCGCGAACTTTACCATTCTAGAAAGAATGTGCTAAAACCGCTCGAGATACCAAACAGATCACTCTTAAGAGACGAGTGACTCCTTTCCGAAGACGCGGGGAGGGGCACCTGCCTTCCTGCGCAGCAGCTGCCTCCCTGTGGAGCAGGAACGGGCCGATTGCTGCAAGTACAGAGATTGCCAGCAGCAGTAACTTATGCGTTGTTTTTCGAGCCACTTCATTTTATAGTAGCCTGACTCTTGGCACGGCTCCAATTGTGAGGGATGTACTTGAGAAGTTTTTGCCATCACATATGATATATGCGGCTAATCTGTGTGTGTCTCTCATAGCCGAGGACAAGGGAGCATTGTCTTCGAAAATGTACCAGTTAGGAGCCCAAAATGGGCTTTTTACGGAGTTCTGGCTTCGGTGTCAGCGTCCCTCGAAATTGACACTATAGCAGCACAATTCAGCCATTCCATGCGTACGACAACTTACCATAGAAACACATAACTACGTGGTCCGTGAAGTGCGCGTCCCAGTTCTTTTTTATCTCCACACATTTTCTCACAATGGCCCGGTGCTATAGAAGCAGAGGAAGTGGGAGAATAGCTGAAAATCACGGAATTCGAAGAGACAGCAAACAAAAGAGCTGCTGCGATTAATGTGGGCCTTTTTTCTGGCGCGAAATGCGAGGGTTTTTTTTCAGGATAATGTGGGTGCGAGCACGCAACATCCACCGACTGATCGATGCTTACATTGGCCGAGAGGAGCACGAGCCAGACGGAGCGGAGCAGCGGCTGATCACCGAACTCAGCAGCGCCAGCAGCCGAGCCTTCTTGATAAACATCCTCGCTAATTCGGTTAGCACTTCACGCTTTTTACAGTTCTCTGTGCACTGCACACCCAGTCAAGAGACAGTCCCTGCACTCGGTGATTTATGGCTGGAAGGGACCCCCTGTTGTCACTGGGGTACAATATTGGGAGGTTAGTAATGTTTTATACGAAACACAGCGATTTGGAATTGCACTTTAACAATCTACAAGGCTCCTGTTTCTCTTAAGAGCTTTTAAATTCGCTCGGATGGCGATAATTTAACTTGAAAAAACACTACTTTCAGACGGGCAGAAGTAGGATAATCGGGCAACGCACGGGCTGCCCATGCGAAAATGCGTTTTTTGCATAGTTCCCCGCAGTTTTTGTCGCTGCCGGCACTGGTTTTTTCTGGCAAATGCTTCTAGCGAAACAAATTAAGACTGGCCGTAGGACTCAGGAAACACCTCCTTAAAATTTCAGCTTTCTAGCCTTCCTGGCTCGTGAGCTAGCAACTTACTGAAAAAAATTTCACGGGCCCGTGCGTGGATACCAGGCATACCCGATGTATGGGTTTGAGCTCATTCGTTTACGTGGACAGCAAGCATCCTCTTAAAACTACAGTTTTCTAGCTTTTCAGTTTCTCGAGTTGGCAACTTGCCCCGGAAAAACTTTGATGAGCCCGTGCATAGGTACCACGTAAAGTCGAGGGCTGGCTTTGAGCTGAATGAGACTTAGGTGGACGGGGAATATCCTCTTAAAATTACAGTCCTTTAGCTTTTCAGGTACTCGAGTTAT